ACAAATTAGTTAGCACAAATCAGTTAAATACGAAAAATTAGGTGTCTATTTACTTGTGACCACTCAGTGTAGACCTTTAGATCTCCAACCCGAAACACTATCCACTAGGCAGCACAATTTGTTTCTGCGTCATCGTTTTGTATGGTAAGAGTAAAATTAAACATTTTGAACTAAGAGAAAATAAGAATTTCTTGATTGTTTAGGTAACTGATCGTAACTGTTTATGTAACTGATCGTAACTGTTTATGTAACTGATCGTTAGCAAAATATTATTACTACTTGTTTCCCAGTTTTCTTGGAAAGGTAACTGACGAATACATGCAGAAAAGGACTGTATGAAGGTAAATAACTACTTGAGGTATTTTACGTTGTTGGAAGAACATAATTAAAATATAGAGTATTGTCTGTACAGAGATGTAAAAAAATATTTGCATAATAATTCGTAAAGACTAATCAAGAAATTCGAAAGTTTAAATACAAAATTTATATGTATATGGACCTAAAGACCTTCTCGAGATTAGAAATATGTTATTTTGTAATTCCATTATTTAGAAAACTCAGTCATTTGTATTAGAGTTCTTTTACTTACACTGGTTTTTATCATCTGTAACTTTTCAGCTTTTATTATCTGTGTACTGGAGACAATCTAGTAGCATCTGGAAAACCCTGAGTGTGACACTGATGTTTGTTTGTTTGTTGTTGAATTTCGTGCAAAGCTACACGAGGGATATCTGCGCTAGCCGTCCCTAATTTAGCAGTGTAAGACTAGAGGGAAGGCAGCTACTCTTCACCACCCACCGCTAACTCTTGGGCTACTCTTTTACCAACGAATAGTGTGGATTGACCGTAACATTATAACGCCCCCACGGCTGAAAGGGCGAGCATGTTTGGTGGGGCGGGGATTCGAACCGGTGACCCTCAGATTGCGAGTCGATCGCCGTAACCACCTGGCCATGTCGGACCACGCGTGACGCTGAACAGAGCATAGAAAACCTGAGCGTGACGCTGAACAGAACATTTGATTTAGTGGGAAACAGAATAAAATTTCTGATATAAATAGATTGAGCACAAAGCTACACAATAGGCTATCTGTGCTTTTCTCACCGCAATAATAGAAACCCGATTTTTATCGTTATAAGCCCTCTGACTTATAACTGAGCCAAAGTTGAAGCGTCGTCTACCGCTATATCACCAAGTAGATTGTTTATTGAAGAAAAATCTTTGTATTGCATATTGTTGTTTTTTTACCTAAAATGTCATCCGATGGCTCAGCGCTAAGTTTGATAGCATTTAATGTTAAAAATTCAATTTCAAATTCTTGATGTAAGATTAGCGCTATTAGCCCATTGATCAGCTTTGAGCCGAAAGACAAACAAACAATCCATCTCAAATAAAAAAAAAAAGATTTTTTTTTAAATTTCTGCTATGTTATTGTATAACATCACGAAGACGTTTAGTCAGATCCTTTTAAAGAGTCTTACATATCTGAAATTCTATAAAAAATCTGTATATAATATACTTTTGGAATCAATTTCGTCACCTGTTGTTCCTTCTGGGCATGCTATATGTCTGCACTTCCCAGGAGATGTTTCCCTCCACTTGAGATCCCGCCTTTCTGTTTCTGGGCAAGTACGTGGTTTCTTGGTAGTAGTGGTGGTTGTGGAAGTAGTAGTTTTTCCTATTGGGGTATCTGCACATGTCCAATATTTTGTTTATATTTCTACTTAGTTTCAGTTTACACCATGTGTTAGAGATCGCTTACAGACAAGTAAGATATAACATGAGGTGTATTATGTTCTGAACATATTCGCGTTATTGATAACGGTAAAGTAATAATAATCATATATCAGACTTCTCATTTCAGAATAACAGGCACTGAAAACAGAAATTTACCCGAAAATTAACCACTAAAGCAAGACGGAGTTTTCAAATTATCTGTTTGGTCAAGTAATTTAAAACCTGCTTCTCAAAATAATGTTAGGCTTAAGCGAAGTCCTAAAGTATACTACTTTTGATGACAAAAACGTATTGATAAGTTGTCTCGAATTGTTTAAAGTAGTTTCCAAACATAGAATATTATTCAATGAGAAATGGTTTCAAAATTACAAATAACGTAAGAAGTTGAAAGAAATCAGGAAATGAAAAATCTTCAAACCATATAAAAATAGCAGGAATCCACTCAATAAGAAATGTTTCAAATAATTATAAGTAATGCCCTAAATAGAAGTCCATACAGTTATAAATGTTTTCAGTAACTAAAAATATGCAGAAAGAACCGTTAAAAGTACAGTAATTGAGAAACAATGAAAAAATGTTAAGTGATTGAAAACAGAGAAGAAGGGAGAAAAAACATTTTTGAATGGTTAAAATGATACAAGAACTATGTATGAAAGTAGCATGTCATCAAAAATTAGCCAGTGTTTATTTAATGTTTTGAATAAGTTTTCAATAGTCGCGGTTGTAAATAGTTCTCAAATCGGTCCAGAGATGGCGCTATAAGATAAAGTTCGTATTTGGAAGAAAAAAAAACTCAGAGCCATTCTATGAGCCGCTATTCCGCGACTAAAAAGACAAAGAACAAGTAAAAATATTTTTAATATTTATTAATGATGTAGCTGCTAAAATAAAAGCCTGTGAGGGTCCTCCATAGAAATCGTACTTTATTCATAGAATATCGAAATGTTTTGTAGATCAAATTAAATGTTTATATAAAGTGTGTTTTTGATTATATTAATATTTATCATTAATTAAAACAGATTACCCTTTACATTTATTGCATAATATACTTAAGATTAAATGTATCAACTAACAACCATTTTAACACAGAAAGAACTATCGGTATAAGTGCGATAAAATGAACTCACCCGTCACATTTACATGCTTAGATGTTGTGGTTTTATTTGCCGAGTTTGTAATATCCACAGTAACAGCTTCCCGGGTTGACGTTGGCATTGATGATAAGTGTGTCTTCGACGAAGTGGCTAATTGTGTAGATGGTACTGTGGACGTAGGATGTGTTGTGTATGGTTTGGGTGTAGTGTCTGAGGCTGTTAAAGTCAGTGTTGATGCAGATGGTTCTGGTCTAATTGTTAATATTGTAAACAACATTTTTGATGGTTCTAGAGTACTTGTGGATATTGTAGACAACATTGTTGATGTTGTAGATGATGTTGGCATACTTGTTGATATTGTAGACATCATTGTTGATGTTGTAGATGCTTTTGGCATACTTGGCGATATTGTAGACAACATTGTTGATGTTGTAGATGATTTTGGCATACTTGGCGATATTGTAGACATCATTGTTGATGTTGTAGATGCTTTTGGCATACTTGGCGATATTGTAGACATCATTGTTGATGCTGTAGATGATTTTGGCATACTTGGCGATATTGTAGACATCATTGTTGATGCTGTAGATGATTTTGGCATACTTGTTAATATTGTAGACGACCCAATTGGTGAAATTAGTGTAGAAGATGATTTTGAGGGCCTCGTTAATAAGGTGGGGGATTTTGCTGATATTGTTGATGATTCTGATGTACTCGTCAATACTGTGGACGACATTTTTGACGTTGCGGATGATTTTGGTGTACTTTTGAATGTTGTAAAAAATGTTGTTGGTGACATTAGTATTGTAGATGATTTTGATGTATTCGTTAATGCTGTAGACGATGTTGTTGATAATGTTTTAGACAACAGTGATGATGTCATCGTTGTAATTGGATATGATTCTGTTGTATTATTTGAACTCGGTGAACTGGTTGATATAGTAGACGTCATTGATGATGCAGAAGTTTTTGAATGTAAAGATAAAGAAATGGGTTTGATATAGGTATTTTCTTCTGTAGTTTCCCGTAGCGTAAAATCTACAAAAGCAATTGAAAGATCAGTATTATGTATTTCAACAAACTCTAAAAATATATCATTATTTCTCGTTTGTTCCAAACGACTTGGAGAATGAATCGCAAATGAAAAAAATCTTATTAATGTAGCTCCTGTACGTTCAAGCAGTCTTTATAAATTGTTGAAAGTTTATTTTTCCAACAATTTTTAACTTAATAAACTAAAACTCTGTAGTTGTAAATACTACCCTCTTAAAAATATTCAAATTCAATTTTCTTTTTTCTAACTCATAGATCATTTTTCAAAAATGTATTGAATGTAGCCTGTAAATAAACTTGGAATCAATGAAAAGTCACGAAGCTGATACGTTTGGTGCAAATGGAAGAAGAATTTGAACCAGTTGAGGAATGCAAGGGATCACTATAATTAACACAAATATACAACGTCTATCAGTTCGAACCTAAAAGGCTAGGAATGCAAAGTATCTTCCTTAAGCACAAAATTCAAGAATCAAAACACAAATGACAGTTTGTTTGTCACGTATTTAAAAAACACCTTAAGTTAAAAGCGAGAACAATGGATATTGTTAGAAATATGTTTTCTTTGTCGTTGTTGTTTTAAAATAGACTTTAGATTAACAATGGAAAACCTAACCATAAATAGTTAGAAATACGTAGTTTAGGCGGGTCCTTTACGTCCTAAACGGTATAAATGAGAATTTCTTATCAAATGCAATTATGTCGATTACTTGAACAATACCAAAATTAAGAGTGGAGATTCGTATACTGACAGCAAAATAAAACTAGGTTGGTTACCTTAAAACCATCTAAGTTAATAAGTGGAAATATAACTACCGATAACAAGCTATGCTGATTATCTTAAAACCATCTAAGTTAATAAGTGGAAATATAACTACCGATTACAAGCTATGCTGATTATCTTAAAACCATCTAAGTTAATAAGTGGAAATATAACTACCGATAACAAGCTATGCTGATTATCTTAAACTATGTAAGGTAAGAGTGGGGATATGACTACCGATAACAAATTATGCTGATTATCTTAAAACCATCTAAGTTAATAAGTGGAAATATAACTACCGATAACAAGCTATGCTGATTATCTTAAAGCTATGTAAGGTAAGAGTGGGGATATGACTACCGATAACAAATTATGCTGATTATCTTAAAACCATCTAAGTTAATAAGTGGGGGATATAACTATCGATAACAAGCTATGCTGATTATCTTAAAGCTATGTAAGGTAAGAGTGGAGATATGACTACCGATAACAAATTATCTTAAAAACCATCTAAGTTAATAAGTGGGGGATATAACTATCGATAACAAGCTACACTAATTATCTTAAAGCCATCCAGGTTAACATTGAAATATATCCTTCCAAGTTAAGAGAAACCTAACGTCTATTAATATAAACTCAGTTAATTATTTTAAAATAACTTAACTCAAAAGTTAAGTCCTACTATTGTTCGTAGAATGTGGGATTATTATATAGAATTGTCCATATTTAAATCCTGGCTATATCTTATAAGCTACTTGTACCAGAGAACTAAAACTTTATTAGAGACACATTGAGAACCTTAAGTTTTATTTAGAAAAGTTGGGACCTGGGTCGTCGTCTGGCTGAAGAGGAATAAAAAAAAAATTTCAATTAATCAATAATTAGAATTAATTAATGAATATTTAGGTTCATAAGTTTTACAAAATGAATGAATAGCTCAGAAAACACAAGTCTGGTGCAGCAAAAAGAAAAGGGAGATAAAATAATCATAGGACAACAGTGTGTTTGTGTTAGAGCAAAGCCACATTGGGCTATCTGTTGTGTCCACTACGGGGAATCGAAACGGCATTTTAGCGTCGTATGTCCGTAAACTTACCGCTGTCTCATTGGTGACGTCAGGGATATGAAAATAACATAAATATTAAAGGTAACTTAAGAGTGTGCAACCTATGCTGTCGTAATTAAATAAAACGACATTTCTTCTTTTCTTTTACCTTGTATGTATGGCTAGTTGTTGATAAAATCAGTGCACTATAGTTTTTTTGTGAATTTACATGAACACTCTTTATAAACTGATTTCATGTAAAATGACAGATACGTATTTTCTTGTAGACCATGCCATTTGTCGTGAGATCATAGAACTTACAAGTATATCACTGTATTGAAAACGTCCATTACAGTATTCATGGTACTTATTGTTCCAATGATAGAGTGATGTAACATCATAATACTTAACACATTCTCCGTCCTATGTATCATAGAAGAGCCATAATCAGTGTTCTGTGTCGTAATATATCAGATGTAGTATAATAATTCTTGGTTTCATTATATGAAAAAGAACTGATTGTTTCTCAAGTAGTGGTCATTGACATGCACGTGACTGACGAACAAAGGTCAAAGCATTGCCCACAGAATTTTACCTTGTGGAGAGTTCCTTTGTTCTGGATTATATGTGTGTGTGTGTGTGTAAAATTAATTTACAAACATGCAGTCTTGGCCAAAATGTTTGCATATTTTGTAACAAATAATATCATTATT